CTAAAACATGTTCTAAGCAGAACTAAAATACATAGCTGAAAAGTCTGCTTATTTTTGCTTGGTTCTTAGCTAAGCCATTTCTTCAGGGATCAGCATATCTGAAAGTTAGTGATGAGTAAATGCATGACTTTTCTTTCAATTTCTGTCATATTATGTCAGCTCCGTGTAGACAATTTTCTTTTTAAAACATCCTGAGACAAGAACATATGGTTCTTTCATTGTTTAACATTGCATTTTAACTCAGCTTAGAGGAATCGGCTCAGAGTCAATAACTGCTCAGTATGGGTTCAATCTGGGACCTCTTTATTCAGCTTTATGCAGAAAAAGACTTGGTGCAGATGGGGAACAATAAGCCCGATGATGAGAAAACAGATTTATTTTTCACTCTCCTGTCTCATGTCTCTCTCATGAAGGTGACATGCTTGACGTGCCAGGTCACATGGCAATAGCACATGATGCACCCTGTGTGTCACACGGCACAGGAAAGGCTGAGTGAGTGGCTGCTCTGTTTCACAACAAGCAGTGAAAGCACCCTTACCAAGACTGTTACCAAAAAATTGCATATTGGAAGCTTCTTGATAGCTGGTCTGAAAAGCTGGTGAGGTATGTGTTCCAGTCGCTTGTCAGGTGGATCCCATCAGTAGTCCACTGGACCATATTCTGAAGCTACAATTCAGTCCAGTGAAAACCCCACAAACGTACGATTACTCCTATACAAACCAAAAGGGCTTTTAATATCCTTAGACAAGGCAGTTCTGCACTGAGCCAAAGCACTCACCTTCTGGTGCAATGAACATCTTTAAGCTTCTATTTTCTTCACAGTGTCACATAGAGATTTAGAGGTGAAAAAAAAGAGCATGAAAATGAAACAAAAAGCAAAAACTCCTCGTCTGAATGTGTACATATTTGCCTATCTTACACAATCAGCAACAATTACAAATAATCTTTATTTTACAGTTTATTGTTTTGTGAATGCTATTTGACAGGCTAGAATGATTATGAAATAAATTTGCTTATTGTGTCTTCCATCAGACTGCAAGTTTTAGAACGATACATGCATCTCTATGCATTTATCAATGATAGCTTCTTTAGTCAGGGAGGGAAGACGAGGTGAAAATGAAGATTTTATAACTGGTTGGACATACAAGATCCACATCCCTTTCTCTGACTGATCTTTGAGTTCAGTTAGGCTGGAGTGTCATAGTCCAGCAAGTATGAAGTACTTGGTGGAGGGGAAACCTGTACTTGAAGCGAATGGCTTCAAGTTTTTAGCACCCCCAACATGTGTTTATCTAATGATAATACTCAAACTAATTTTACCAGGTAGCCAAAGCTGTATGTGCAGGAAAATAAATATCTGAATTAAAACATTTAACAGACAATTCAGTTATAGTGCGTATTTTCAACATACTGCTTTACAAGTACTTACTACATAAACTAATGGAAGTGTCTAAATATAAGAGATCTTTTGGTGATAGGAAATATTTTTAAATTACAAGATCACAAAGCATTAGAGGATCACAAAGGCAATTTTATTGCTTGAAAACAGATTTTAGAGGACTTTATAAAGTAAGTCTGACTTTGAAAGAGCTTATTTATCTATCAATTTAGTGCATAACTTCATATATTAATTTGAACATTAAATTACTCAGTAAATTCTTGACAGAAGTCACACTATACCTTTACAATCTGTCAATGACTGTAAATTAATATGTATAGTAATTATGCTACTGCAGTGCTTGGGAGATATTCATTCAGCTCACATATTTTCCAGAATCTCCTACTGACACCGAGAAAGTTGCTTTAGTTCTCGCTTGTTCATCTCACATCTCCAAATTAGCACAGGGATCGCCTCTTTCTTTGTACCTCTAAAGTACCTTGCACATAGGGACTTCCGAGCAACTACTGTAACATGAATTACTAATCTAGAATCTAGACTATTCCAACTTGGCCAAGAAGAAAGACTGCAGGGGCTGCTCCTGGAAGAATGATTCACTGCTTCTTCCTGAGAGGAACCTGCCAACAGCTCTTGCGGGGGACACACACCAACAAAATGCACTTTACTCTGATGTCTGCTAAAGAAATCTCTTCCAGACTGTACTTGCTTGGCTAACGACTGCCTCACTGAGATCACTTCGCCTACGCCACTGCACCTCACCTATGCTAAGCGTAATGATAAAAATATCTCAGCCAGTGACCGTGGCCAGATGCCTGGTGACTTAGAGATGACTCAGAGCTCTGGTGGCCTCTGACACTGTGGAGCATGCGAAATCCCTGACACAGCTGGATGACCTGGCTCAGAGAGAGAAATGCCTTAGTGCGGTTCCACTGATTCCTCACTGAGTGTTCCCAGATGGTAGCAGATGGCTTTTGCTTCTGTTAAGGGTTCCCAGATGCAGTATGCAACAGCTCTCAGTACTGATCACCTTTTCTATCCAACATCTGTACAGAGGCTGTGGGAATGATCATGATGCAGTATATGGACTGTGGTCTTATTAATATTAATGCTACTTTATCTTTGCTTTCAATCTGGGAATTACAACTGCCCTCTGACACGTCTAATATTGAGAACATACTGAGAAAGAGATGAAAACCAGCTTGATGAAGCTCAAGTCCAAACATATAAAGATGACATGAATTAGAGGAGGAAGCCTTCGGAGGATACAATGAATCAAAGAATGAATGTAGCATTTTCCGAGACGGATTAGAGAAGTCCAGGGAATAGAGAGGTTCATTTTGATCAGCAGCGTTCCCAGAAGGACTGTTAAGTTCACAAGAGTCAGAGCCCAGCACTCTTTCTGCCCCTTCTGCTTTTGACTGAACACACACCTTGCCTTCATGATGCCTGTGAGCACGGGATGCGCCCGCGTTGACCCTTCATCTGCTTGGGAATCTTGCGTCTTGAGGAGCCCCAACAAAGTTTGTTGATGGCTTTCACAGCCCTCAGTCAACACAAGTGGCTGAAAGAGATGGTTTGCCTCGGAGCATTTACTGTGACATTCCCACTTTGGGAAGAAACACATTTTGCTTTCAGACCTTAAGATGACTAGAGTTATTCAGTGTTTCTAAACATTTATGTGGTGATAGTCACTTTTGACAATTTGCCCATTTTTCCGTGGATCACAGCTTTTCACAAAGCCTGCATTTCTCTCATAAAACTATAAACCCAGGCAAAATCAAAAATCCCTCTCCTTACCTGGCTTTCCAGGCCTTCTGCATACACATACACCCTCAAGAAAGAAACGTATTTTCTTTGCAGATTATCCCCAAGTCATTTAAGGCCGCTGAGAGGCAGGAGGCAGAGGCAGACCTTCCCGCAGCCATTTGCGGGACCCTGGCTCCGCCGTGCGGCACCCCGCTCTCCGCAGGCCGCCACCAGGGGCGGCCTTCCCGCCCGGCCGCCCGGCGCCCCGCGGAGCGGAGCGAGGCCGTGGCGGGGGCGCCGAGAGACGCCCAGCCCGGCCACGCTCCCTCGGCGTCGCCTGACAGCCGCGGCCCGCGCCGCCATTAACCCGGGGGCGGGGTTCTTTCCCCCCCCGCGGCC